GGGTAGGACGTTTGCCTTGCACGCGGCTGATCCGGGTTTGATTCCCAGCATCGCATATGGCCCCCCAAGCACTGCCAGGAGTAATTCCTAAGTGCAGAGCCAGGAGTAACCCCTGTGCACGGCTGGGTGTGACCCCAAAAAGCAAAGAAAAAAAAGAAAGAAAAAGAAAACATAGAAATTATATCATTCATGCTTATAGAACCCTAGAGCAATATATTCATCTGTCCAGCTTTTAGTATCTTTGTAAGTAGTTGATTACAAAAGTGAAGTAATGTGGAAAATGTGTACATACCTATATATACATATACACAAACATACAAACATGCATACATGCACATATATAACCATGCTTATATGTAAACATACACCTATAAGTAAATATAGCACTGTAGCACTGTCCTCCCATTGTTCATTGATTTGCTCGAGCAGGCACCACAGTAATGTCTCCATTGTGAGACTTGGTACTGTTTTTTTGGCATATTGAGTATGTCACGGGTAGCCTGCCAGGCTTTGCTGTGTGGGCGGGATACTCTCAGTAGCCTGCTGGGCTCTCTGAGAGGGGCAGAGGAATAGAACCCGGGTAAGCCGCGTGCAAGGCAAATGTCCTACCACTGTGCTATCGCTCCAGCCCAAGTAAATATAAACTTTAGATCTAAACTTTAGAAAATCAACAGAGTCTATCTTTCTCAATAAAATCACAGAGATGAGTGACACACAATAGTATATCCATACTCTGGTCAGTTGACTGAAAACTCTGTAGTTGTTACTTTTATATTATTTCTTGAGTAATATAAATATTTAAGAAGACAGTAATGCTTGGCAAAACTGCTATGAATCTATAAATCTGCATTTTTGTTTGAATATATTCTCAAAACATATAAAGTAAAATATCTGATCACTATTACCTACATTTCAAAGGATAAAACTACTCCATGCCACAGCGCAGTGTTAAAGGTGACTACAGTTCAAGCTGCCGTGAGCCTCTGGCACCATGTCTGCTAGACAAAGATGTTCGCAAACCTGAAGGCATGTCATGTGTTAGTCCTGCTTTTGTTTTCTTAGCATTCTGCCTAACAACTCAGAGTTTATTCTCCTAAATTAATAGCAATACATATCATGACATTGATTTGCTCGAGCAGGCACCAGTAACGTCTCCACTGTGAGACATGTTGTTACTGTTTTTGGCATATCGAATACACCACGGGTAGCTTGCCAGGCAATCAATGAAAAACGGGAGGACAGTGCTACAGTGCTACATATCATGACGAGTTTTTGGCTTTCTTCATAGCATCCTATCCCCTCTATCTTCTTTTTCAAAATAATTCATTTTCATAAACTGCACAGTTGACAAGATATTGACAAAGGATGACAGGTGTCTTTTGACCAGCTTCAGGGACTGCAGTTTTGCTGCAGTCAGAAATGTAAAACTTACAATTAACACAGGCCTGGAAGCTCAAAACAATGGGATTCTTTGGCAGAAAGAGGAGAGCGTGAGTCCTGCTGTGCTCAGGGGACTACATGTGGTGCCGGAGATTGGACTGGGACTGGATGCCAGTGACAACCCATGGGCTATTTCTCCAGCTGTGTGTGTTGGGTGTCAGGGGGAATGGATGAGGAGGCGGGGGGGGAGAGCTGTAGCTTTCCCAAACAAAACTTTAGAAGACATCTATATGAGAACAGTATATACTAAAAGTGAAAAATATATATGAATATAAAATCTAACTTTCTAAAGTAAAAATTCACATCAGAAATATATCATACTGGGGTCTGGAGAGCTAGTACGGCAGGTAGGGTGCTTGCCTTGCACATGGCTGACCAGGGTTCAATCCCTGGCACTTCATATAGTCCCATCAATCCCATAAGGAGTGATCCCTAAGGGCAAAGTTAGGAATAAAACCTGAGTACCAAAAGTTATGACCCAAAAACCAAATAAATATATCACAAAATAATGGAGGTCAATAAACACACACACAAAAATGAAACATGACACAAAAGAATCTCAGAACCGAGCAGCTCACTGCAGAGATGCCTCTCGACCTTGCGCCAGCAGCTTTCACCGGGCTACTCCAGATGGGAGCAGGTGTTCTCCCTCCACCTGGCCCCTAGGAATCCTGGTGGCTGCCATCTTCCAATATGAAGCCTAGGTAGGCAGGAGCAGTAATAGTAAACGCCAGGACTCAATGGGATAGGGGATGGGCCAGTCCCTCTCGTCCCCCTTCCCTGAGATGATGCCCATGAACTGCCTCCGGCTACTATTTAAGCTCCTTAATGGCCATGATCCAGAGACACACAAAAGAATCTTGGAACCCGCAATTCACTGCAGAGATTTCTCCAGACCCTAATTATCTAAAATTTTGGAATTCCAGGAGCATGCGGCTACTCTCAAGGTCACGCAACATCTTATTCTATTCATAAAAAGCAATACAAAGTAAACTGTCTGGCACTGCCTTTTCGGTAGGGTTGAGTGGTGGCGGGAAAATTCCAAACAATGGTGGGAGTGGTATTGAAATATTAAATGTAATCAAAGAAAAGAGAGAGGATTGTGGAAATTGTCTGCCACATAGACAGGGGAAGGGTGGGATGGCAGGGATACTGGCTGGGGATTTTGGCGGTGAAAAATGTACACTGGTGAAGAGATGAATGTCTGATCACTGTATGACCGAAATTCAAACATGAAAGCTTTGTAACTATCGGTGATTCAATTAAAAAAAAAAAGAAACTTATCGAGGTTTTTTGATTTGAAATTTCTCTTGAAACAGACATATAAAAGAATTAGCTTACACAGAAGAAAAATGTCAGATAATAAACTGCATGAAAGTAATCCGAGAGGTGAAACTGCCCCCTAGTGACTGATAATGTAACAAACTGAAAAAAAACCTAGAGGGTCTGAATTAAAATATGTTAAAAATGTGCACTGCATCCAAAATTTACAACTGTCCTTTTGATTCATTCATACTTCACTCCATATACAATGTGGAATAAAATGAGGATCATTTTATTCTCCGATGAAGTCTACTGGCAGAGAGATTCTCTCTGCAATGGGTGGGATGAGAGAGAGGACGTGAGTGCTTTAAGTAAGAAAAAGGGGTAAGAAACCCTATTTTATACGAGGGCGTTGGGAAAAGTTCCATTTAAAAAGTAGCATGTAAATTGAGACTAGAAAGATGAAAAGCAACACTTGCAGGATTTTCAGGTCAGAGAGAGAAAATGACCCAGGCAGAAAGAAATGTCAAATTGATGGAAAGTCCCAAAGGTGGAAATGTGGGTTGAATTCAATGCAGTGCTTGAGAAAAAGCAGGTGGCCAACGCGTGAATAAAGAACGAAGAGAGAAAGAGAGAGGCTGAAGAGTAGTACAGAGGTGCAAGCACTTGCTTTGCACACAGTACTGCATTCCCCACACACTGCAGGGCAGGATCCCTGAGCACAGAGCCAGGAGTAATCCTTGAATACTGCCAGGTGTGACCCAAACCCCACCCCCTCCGCAATGGAGGACAGGGGAAGAGAGAAAGGAGAAAAGGAGAAGGGAGGAAGAGCAAAGGGAACCAAATCATGTGTCTTTTATCCTCAGGGAAGTAGGAAGCTACTTAGGGGATCAGGGACAATTGTGACTGACGATAGGACCAATCACCCCAGTCACTAGGCTCAAGAGCAGAAGTGAATTAGCACAGCTCAGTGGATACAGTGACAGGCAGATTCCAAGCATTCAGGGGCAAAAGGAAAGAAAAGAGTAGAATGAAGAGGTTTAAGAAGAGACAACCAATATCGAACATTTAGAAACAACTTCTTCCAATATTTTTTCAAGTCATCAGAAAAACTGAAAGCAACTAAAAACATCGTATTTACATCATTGTGTATCACCACACCATACCAAAAGACCAGCCTCTCTCAGATCACAGAACCCTTCCCTCCGACGCCCTGTCCCCTATGCCCAGTTCTGTCATCAGAGTCTATGGGTCCATTTTCAGCGAACACTGTCTATTCCTTAGCTTGGATGATCCATTGATAAATTCATACAGGAAATCTTATCCTTCAAGTTTTGTTTTGTTTTCCCAGGGTGAGTGGTATTGTTGGGCAACACCTAGTGATGCTCAGCTGGATCTACACTCAGGTAACACTCCTGATGGTACTCAGGTTGCCAGGATCAAACCCAGATCAGCTGTGAGCAAGGTGAGTGTCATACCTGCTGTAGTATCATTTTAACCCTGATTCTTCAAATTTACTTAACATAATACACGCAAGTCTATCCATGAAGCAAAAAGCAATAGCAATCTTTTCTTAAAACTGCATCTATTTGGGCCTGGAGTGATAGCTGTGAGTAGGACATTTGCCTTGCACGCAGTCAACCCAGGTTCAATTCCCAGCATCCCATATGGTCCCCCAAGCACCGCCAGGAGTAATCGCTGAGTGCATGAGCCAGGAGTAACTGTAAGCCCTGTGCATCGCCAGGTGTGACCCCCCCTCAAAAAAAAAGCCTGCATCTAGTCTAATCTTTTCTTTAAATACATTTACATTTCTTTAAATACATTTTCTTTAAATACATTTGAAAATAGGTAACCTATTTACATTTAGAGAAAAATATCAAAAAATTTTTATAAGAAAATCTCCCTCATATTTCCAGCCTACCAACAGATAATAACTGATACTCCTAATGAATATTCCTCATAATAAGAGTATAATAATGCACAATTTAACTATATCAACTCTCTATTGCTGGGTAATTAGTTGTTTCAAATCCCTTACTGTTACAAATATCTGTGCAGTAAATAATAGTGTTTTTTTCTAAATGTGAGATTAATTAGATGTAACTTTGCACACCTAATTACAGTTCATTAAGTTCACGTTACTATGATTCTTTATAAATGGAGACATACATGCACATCCTGAATTTTACTATTTTACTTAGCATGCTATCAGTGAAAAATCTTTGGAAAAAGAAAAAAAAAGTTTGAAGCTATTTTAATAGTTCACTTATAAATGTTCAGGAATCTTCCATACTCACCAAAACCATCAATATCTAAATTATTGTCAACCACAACATCCAGCAAGGAGTCACCAACTTTTCCTTGGGTTGTTAATGTTTCCCCATCACGGTTTATAAAGTGGACAGTTACTTTATCTTCTGAGCTGGAAAAGGAAGCAGACCTTATTACTTTTAGTAATTTCAAGAGGTACTTTAAAAGAATTGTTTTAAGAACTTGGGAAGTCAAAGAAATAGTGTTTGTGTGTGAGTGCACAAATAATCTCTTTTAGAATCGTTTTTTCAATTCTTTCCAAAGTTGAGCTCAGAAGAAGATAACACAAATCAAAAGCATGTCTCCCCTCCTAGAGGAAGAGAAACTCCACCTACAGGAAATGGCAAGGGCATCTTTAAGGCATCAGGATAACAGCCGCCACAGCTCCCTGAAGTCATGGTCAGTCACGTGGGGCCATTTAGCAATCACTGCCATTCATGAAGTCTGTTTTGCTCTCACACTGCTTTCTGATGAAAGCTCTCTGTTCCTGTCCCTAAAGGACTGTACAAGCACTGTGAGGAGCTTCAGACAACTCAAGCACCTGTTGTGGAGATGTCTGACAGGGAGCTGTCACTGAGACAGCAGCATGATGGTTCTAGAAGCATTTGAACATAGGTCCATACTGTGAACTCAGCCCACACCTCCTCCACTGCTGAATTAACGAAATCATGGGCGACAACTTTTCTGGGCCTTCATCTGAACTGAGGAGATCTGCCCTTGTTAAATTAAACCCTCTAAGAGTTCAGACATTTTTCAGATGAGGAAAATCATGTTCCTCAGATGAACACTGAATTTCAGGCCATCCCAAGACAATTTTAAAGGTTACCAAAGACCCAGAAAAATTTGCTTAAGAATGTTAACATTATAAAGCAAACCTACCAAACGCCTTTTGCTGACCTTTACCAATAAACGCATCTGCTTGCTGGTGAGGGTCAAGCTTGTCAAATGAATCACCCGAAAAAGGGACCTACATAAACAAACCCTTAGCTTGTGGTAGACTCAAGCTGGCAGGTTTTACCAAGTGTTTACAGGACAGAACCTTTTATAAACCTAACTAAAAAAATACTCAAGCATGTACATAAAAGACTGATTGATATAAAATATTCTTGACTACAATTGACATCGAATTACTATTCGTGCTGTTGGTTCTTTTTCTCTTTTTTTTGGGGGGGGCACCCCCCAGCATGCTAAGTAAATAGATACTGCAAGTATAATAAGTATGGCCTTATCATCATCTCCCCTTGCTGTATTTAATCCTTCTTGACAAGAGCAGAAGTTCCAATAAAGCTATCAGGGTTTGCTGTGGTCAAGTTCTTTTTTTTTTCTTTTTGGGTCACACCCGGCAATGCACAGGGGTTATTCCTGGCTCTGCACTCAGGAATTACTCCTGGCGGTGCTCAGGGGACCACATGAGATGCTGGGAATCAAATCCGGGTTGGTCACGTGCAAGGAAAACACCCTACCTTCTGTACTATCTCTCCAGCCCCAACTGTGGTTAAGTTCTTAATAGGCCTCTCAGAGAGAAGCGCTGCTTGGTTTTCTCTCCACAGTGGAGTCTCAGGCAATTTAGGCTCCTGTCTATGGCTCCTTGTTGCCAAAGATATTTAACTAGCATATAGGTTAAAACTTACAAACTATTGTCGTGCCCCGAAAACCTACTTGAGCACCAATCCTTATTATGCCAAACCTACTTAATCTGAAAATTTTATTCTAACATAACTACCCAACCTCCACCTCATGAATCTGTCTTTAACAATCAAGTATAATGTTTGTGAAAGTCCTTTGTAAAGAACTGCAATATACATAAATCACTACACACTACAAAATAATGATGTCTGCATACTTTGGAATGAGAGCCTTTTTTTGTTGTTGTTTTTTCACTGTCAAATTTGTTTGCTTATTTAAATGGTTAACTTCAAAGTCAGAACTACATTTTCTAAACAGCTCTGCCCAATCAAAGCTGAAATGATAAGGGAATTTAAATCTAGAGCGATAATGGAGTCGTCGTAGTCTAGAAACAGTTTCAAGTCTGTGGAAGCACAAGGCGACCAATAAAAATCTACCAACCAGGTTAAAAGCTGAGAGAAGGAGCTAGGAGGAAAGTGTTCTGGGATAAGAAACTTGATATAGCCAGATCTACACTTGATAAACTTGGTGAGATAATTTCCATCAGCAAAAAACATGCGTCATTTCTGGAAATACTAGTTACACAGATATGTGAAATGTATGTCCCAAGAGAAGTATTTTTTTCAGGAATGCATCCAGAGAAGAAAACAAGGCTTGCGGGGGAGCAAGAGCAGAGAAAGGAAAGGAGAAATAGGGACAAATCAATCTGATTTGTCTTCTTCATTCTCTATCTCAGTTCAAGCAACACCAATTTATTAAGGACCCATTATAAAATGAGACCAGGCCCCAGAGAGGCAAAAAAGTATAGTCAAAGTAACATCTACACTTGTTTGTTCATTGCAGCACTGTTTACAATAGCCAGAATCTGGAAAAAAACCTGAGTGCCCAAGAACAGATGACTGGTTAAAGAAACTTTGGGACATCTACACAATGGAGTACTATGCAGCTGTTAGAAAAGATGAAGTCATGAAATTTACATACAAGTGGTACTACATGGAAAGTATCATTCTAAGCGAAATGATTCAGAAAGAGAGGGACAGACATAGAAAGATTGCATTCATCTGGGGAACATAAAGTAATAAAATAGGAGACTAACACCCAAGAATAGATGAGATAAGTATCAAGAGGTTTACTCCATGGCTTGGAGGCCAGCCACACATGCTAGGGGAAAAGGCAGCTCAGATAGAGAAGGGAGCACCAAATAAAGAATGTTAGGAGGATCCTCCCAGGATGGGAGAAGCATGCTGAAAATAGATGGAACATGATTGCCACTCAATGACTCTTTTGCAAACCACAGCACCCAACAGGAGAGAGAGAACAAAAGGGAATGCCCTGCCACAGAGACGGGGTAGCATGGGGGAGATGGGGATTGGGAGGGATACTGGGATCATTGGTGGGCATTGGTGGAGCAATGGGTTCTCAATCACTGTATAACTGATACCCAAGCATAAAAATTTGTAAGTCAACAACTGTACCTCATGATGTTTCGCTAATAAAAATTTTTTAAATAAATAAATAAAATAAAGTTAAACATTATTACAAAATATTTACAGCAGTAAAAATAAATAAATAAATAAATAAATAAATAAATAAAATGAGACCAGGAGAAAGTCTAGTCAATCCCACACAAATACTTTCAGGGGTCTACTCGAGGATCTTACGTAGAAGTAGAAAAGAGGGCACATAACTCCTAACCATGTTCCAGGTCTTGCTTCCAGCTAGGAACTCAAGCTCAGAAACAGTAGAGGAGGGTGTTGGGAGAAATTGTGCTGAGCTCCTCCATCCCGTTGCTATGCCAAATGGAGTGAATTTTCTCTTGGATGCATCCTACGATGATTGTCTTTGAAAGCAAATTATGTCTAACTCTATAAAACTTCTAAGTATTGGAGGGGAAAAAAACGTCTTCTTCACATCTCCTTCAACACTGGTTTTATGTTGGGGCCACACCCTGCGAGGTTCAGGGGCTTACTCCTGGCTCTGAGCTCAGGAATGGTTACTAAAGGTACTCAGGGAACCATAAGCCATGCCAGGGATTGAACCTGGGTTGGTGGCGGGCACCGCGAGAGTCCTATCTGTTGAACCAACATCACTTCTGCCCTCTTTCAACATTTAATATAAATTGCTCAACTCGTATGGGTCTAGACGCCCTTTGCAGCTGCTCAAGTGCCCTCTCTATTTTCTGGCTGCAAGCCAACCCTAACTAACCTGTATTATCCATTTGATTCATCAGACAACCCATCGACTGCTAAACTCCATTTGCCAACCAAAAAACCAAGAGGGATAGAAGCTGAGAGCTCGTAAGCACCGAAGAACATTTTCAAACTGTGCTTTAAGAGGCTGGAGAGACAGCACAGCTGTTAGGACGTTTTGCCTTGAACTCCGCTGACCCAGATTACACCCGGGGCACCGCATGTGGTTCCACAGGCCACGTCCAAGAGTGATCCCTGGGCAAGGCGCGTGTGGCCCCCAAATCTAAATAAATAAGTAAAACCAGGCCGGAAGGGGGCTCAAAGGTAGCGCACAAGCTTTGCCCATGGAAAATAGGGATTCGTTACCTGTCACTTGCACCTACGGGTGCGCACGCACGCACGCACACACACACACACACACACACACACACACACACCCTCAAACAAGCAAGCAAACAAGCCAAGAAACAAGGTGCCCGGTAGCGCACAAGCTTTGCCCATGGAAAATAGGGATTCGTTACCTGTCACTTGCACCTACGGGTGCGCACGCACGCACACACACACACACACACACACACGCACACACACACACACACACACACACACACACACACACACACCCTCAAAACAAGCAAGCAAACAAGCCAAGAAACAAGGTGCCTGGCGAGAAGTTTCTGTGTGGGTTTGGGGATGGGGGCGAACTCAGGACTCGTGCCAGGCCCATCGCCGGCTCTCACAAGTACTTTGGCTTTGGGAAACTGGGACTAGTGGGAGAAGCCAAAGGGACCGGCGTGGGTGAAGTCTAAGTGGGCATCGCCAACAAAACGCTGGGCCCTGGACCCTCTAAAACTGCGGGAGAAAGACCTGGAAGGAAAGGGCTAGCCAAAACGCAAGCAAGTTAGGACGTTCAAGGCCGGCTCCGGGCAGAGCAGAGGTCCGGTCCAGCAGGAAGGATCAGCGGCAGCAGCAGAGCCGGGCTCCGGCGGGGCCGGGAGGGGACGGGAGTCCCGGGTCACCTTGCCCGCCGGGCACCGAGGAGGCTGAGAAAGGAAACTGCGGCGCGTGAGAGACAGACGAAGGCCCGGGGCTCGGGGCCAGCGGCGGGCGCCGGCAGGGACCCCCGACGCCCGCGCCTCACCTGCTCCGCGCGCCCGCCGACACGCTCAGCGTCCGGCTGGGTCCCGCGCGCGGGCCGCCGAGCAGCAGCCGGGCACGGCGGGCGCAGCCCAGGGCCCCGGAGGCGGCGCGCAGGAGCCGGGTGCTCCCCGCGGCAGCCATCGCCAGCGATCGTCGGCGACCGGATGCGACGCAAGTGGGCCAGCCGGCGCTGGACGCTAGAGGTGGAGAGCGCTGGTGCCCGCGGTCCCGGCCGGGCCTACCCCGCCGGCCTTCTGGGTGACCTTTAAAGGCCCCGGCGACCAGCGCGCGGCCCCGCCCCCTGACGCTGGCCACGCCCCCGGAAGCGGCGGGCCCAGGGGGCGGGGCCACGCTCTCGGGCTCCAGCCTGCAGGTAGTTGGGCTTGTCCCTTCCTCGTCTTGGTTGCTCCTTAACCGCGCCGGAATAGGGAGGCGAGAAACTGCAGCACTTCGGGAGCGACGTTACCCTAAAACGACCCCCGATGAACTAGACCGCTTGTTCCACACTGTCTTCGTCTAGCCGTTGGGGTGGGGGGGGAAAAAGAATCAAAGCTGGAGCAATAATGAATGGCACAGCAGGTCAGTAGCTTGCCTTGGTGAGGAAGGAGCACAGCTGGCGACCCCCAAGCGAAACGAACTATTTTGAAGAATGAAATTTAAAGCAAAAAATCTGCAGTTCAACTGGGGTCATGTGGACCGTGGGCGTGTCCAGCAAGGACAGTCGGCAGTTTCAGAAGCGTCACAGGTCACAGTGATTTAATAAAGAAGTTAAAAAAAAAATAAAAAGCAGCGTCATAGATCTCACGAAAGGAAATAAATCCAGGGGTTATAATCGGCTGTAAACATACTGAATGCGCAGAAACCTGGCAGGACTCTTTTATTTTGCTGGGTGTGGGGGGCGAAGCACACCCGGCGATCACGGTAACCTGGTGGTGCTTGGGGGGGGGGGACCACATGGGACGCCAAATACCAAACCTGGATCAGCCACGTGCAAGGCTGTAACCCTGCAAGGCCCTAACCACTGTACTATCTCTCCAGCCACAGGACACTTTATTTGTATGAGCTGCGATTTGTCCAGCTTTACGAAACCAGGAGGATGAACGTAAAGATATACTTTTATTGTGGTAAATATGTTGTGACAGAGCCGTGGTTAGGAGGTCAGAAATAGCCATGGTTGACGCATTTCTTGCATTTCTGTCCTCTGAGACCTTGGATAAGTCTTCAGTGAATGCTATGACCCTTAAATACGGATTTAAAAAAAAAAATCAAAAGACGACATGGGATGTTTCTTCACGGTTGATCTGAGGGTTGGTCAAAATGCCCTTGTGCCTACGTGTGGAGTGCGTCACAAATAATGAGTTATAGCCCCCAAGGCCGCTCAGAGCAGCTGAAGGCCACGGGCCAAGGGATTTTGCAGATAGGCTAAACACAGTACTTGAAAGAAGACTCAGACCCAAAACTTTCTGCTATAATGAAATCTCTCAAGACCGCAGAAGATGAGACAGATGAATTTTATGTCAGTCACTCAGTTCCTAAATTATCTCAACTTTCTGAGAGTGAGATAAAGGACTTCCTAGCAAGAGATCCAAGAGCAGATGGGTCATAAAAGGAAAGGTTTTTTTTTTTTAATTTTTTATTATTTTTTTCTTTTTAATATTTATTTATTTATTTATTGCTTTTTGGGTCACACCAGCCATGCACAGGGTTCACTCCTGGTTCATGCACTCAGGAATTACTCCTGGTCATACTCGGAGGACCGTATGGGATGCTGGGAATTGAACCTGGGTCAGGCCATGTGGAAGGCAAATGCCCTACCCACTGTGCTATCACTCCAGCTCCTATGTTTTGTTTTTTTAAGTCAGGGACCACAGTTCAAAGATTCAGATCAATTAATTGTAGAAAGAGAGCTGCAGGTGTGTGGAGGTCGGTGTGTCAGGGAAAGATATTACAGATGTTCCCTTTCCTCTCAGCCCTGGGGTAGCAAATCCAGATTTCATTTCCTTAGGGCTCTTACCCTCAACTTTGTGGGATAATTCTATACAGGAGAGTTGTTGCTACACACAGTTCATCTAAGTACTCAATATATCACCAGGCATAGGGCCTGAGTCAAGGGTTCAGTAGGGACCGATGAAGAAAGTTAATGTTGTTTATCTTTTATTAGGAAGCATAAGGGATGTGCATGAAGATTAAAGATAGAGAAGAGTCTTCTCCATATTTTCAGATGTGGGTAAAAGTTCATTTCAAAGATTATTGATAATGATACTCTGAAGAATCCCAAAGCAAATTTGTAAGCAATTAATCCAAGAACACAAATTTTGGAAGCCACATGATGTGACTGAGACCCTTAAATTCTCTTCCCTATAAAATCTTCCTATTTATCCAATAGACCATCCCTTTCTGTGCTGAACATGTCAGACTTATGTTTATTTTTGGAAAACTTAAATTATTGGTTGTTTCAGAAGGGGTCATGTTCATAAAATGTCTTGTAACCTATATCAAAATTCAAGTGGGATGATTTATTGAGCACTAATCAGGGTGCTGCATCTAGTGACTGTGAATGAAAGTGCCAGGAGTAAGAGTGCTGTCGCAGTCATCTTCATGTACCAACCAGTTTCACAACTCCCTTCTCTACTGCACAGTAGCACTATTTAATACCCATTTTAGGAAGTGTCTTAAAAAACTTCACTGATTTCATCTCATATCCTTAACACAGCACCTCTGTAGGGTTGTATTTGCCTTTAATCAATGAATATTAATTGACAGCAAGAGTGTGCTGGAGATGCAGGGCCAACAAAATCAGATTTGGGGGCAGAGGAATAATATAGCAGGTAAGGCGCCTGCCTTTCACACTGCCTACCTTGGTTCAATCCCTGGCACTACATATGGTCCCCTAAGCCTCTCCAGGATTGATCCCTAAGCACTGAAGAATCCAGGAGTAATCCCTGAGCATGGCCAGGAGAGGCCTCAAAACAAAACAAGTTTTATTCTCTTTACTGCACAGGTGAGGAAACTGTGGGCTAAGTGGTTGCTACTTACTGGTTATCCAAAATTCAAATCTAAGCTGCACTGGTTCCAAGTCCAGGGCACAAGCAATTATGCTGTTTTGTAATATATGTACACTTTTACTTGCGTGATTGTTACATATTATATTTCTAGTTCTATTGCATGTTTTTCAACTATTAATAATTACTTAGGGGCTGGAGAGAGCATTTGCCTTGCACATGGCAGAATCCAGGTTCAATTCATATATAGTTCCTCCAGGAGTGATCCCTGAGTGCAGAGCCAGGAGTAAACCCTGAACAGTGCCTGGTGTACCCCTGCTCAACCCCACCCCCCCAAAAAAATATTGCTTAAGATTCTTGGTGATGTGTCTGAGAACTCTGGGTTCAAGAGCATTTAGAACAGAGATTCCTTGCTGGTATTCTCCGCTGCCCTCCCCCCCGCAACACCCCCACCACACACAGTCTCCATCAACTCAGCAGTCACACCATAAGCCACCTCTGTCTGGCGCCAGATAATCTTGTCATTGGCCACCTTCCAGATGGAATATCCTTCTCTCCCAGAAGGAAGCATAACATGACGCTCTCCATAAACATGCCTTCCCACCCCAAGGGACCTAGCCCCTGCAGCCAAAAACCTCCAGAACTTAACCGCCACCACGCTCAAGGCAGCTTTCCACATGCTCCGGCCGAGCCTCACCCACGAGTGAACCTATTACTGGATCTCGTGACCGAGTCAATTCGTACCACATACTCTATCCGTACTCCAAGAGTACTGTGCCATATTTGATGGGGTTCAAATAGGAGGCAATTAATCTTAGAGGGTAAATTTTTTGTAAAGAGAGAGATATATATAAACACACACAAGGCTCAACTTCTACCAACATGTTAGCATTCTCTTATAGAAGGGCTTAATGGCCCCTAGCTGAAATACAACAATTCTCATGCTCTTTCCTCTAAGGATACTTTTTTGTAGCATATTCAATGGTTTTTCACAACAAACAGTACAAAATTTTGGTTCTGCTTTGGGGCAGGGATTGGAGTTTGGGATGGAAACACCTGAGATATGGTTGTGGGAAGGTGTAATGGTGGTGGGATTGGTGTTTACATATTAAATGTAAATGAAATATTGTGAACTGGAGCAATAGCACAGCAGTAGGGCGTTTGCCTTGCACGCAGCCAATATGGCTGACCCGAGTTCGATTCCTCTGCCCCTCGTGGGGAGCCCGGCAAGCTACCGAGAGTATCTCGCTCGCATGGCAGAGCCTGGCAAGCTACCCGTAACGTATTCAATATGCCAAACACAGTAACAAACAAGTCTCACAATGGAGATGTTACTGGGCCCGCTCGAGCAAATCGATGAACAACAGGAGGACCGTGACCGTGACTTTATCAAATTAAAAAATGTAAAAATAAAATATATAAGATGGAGGCGGTTACTGGTAGAGTAATTGTCTTGTATTTGTAAAACCCTACTTTTGGTCCCTGGCACATGCACACAAAAAAATATTAATAAATTTAAATCACATGAAATAAATAGATATACATAAAAGAAATCGTTAATAAATGTTTTCATATTTGGAAAAATTCTACATGATCCATATAATTTAGGGATAATGTGAGAAAGTATCAGCTAGATTTTTAGATGAATGTATTTATTGTTTTTTAATTTTATTTTACTTTTATAAAGTTGTTCACAATAATTGATTACATTCAATATTCCAAAACCAATCTCACCACAATTACAGTTATCTAGCTAGTTTTTTAGGTTTACTTTTATTGTAGATACGCGCGTATTTCACCCCAAGCATGACTTTCTTCACTGCCAGATGATTTATTCATATTGCTGATAATGTTAATAAGTTTCCTAAATTAAAGTGAAATTTATACTGACATGTAAAGAATTGCCATCTTTGTCTGAATAGATTTTCCTGCCTAAAGTCTTCTCTTGTACTGATGCATACTCCTACAGGCAAATGTGCAGGATGTCTAGGGTCAGTATTCTTGCATGCAGCTGACTCAGGTTCAATCCCCAGAACCCATAGGGTCTCCCAAGCCCTGCCAGGAGTGATCCCTAAGCACAGAGCCAAGAGTAAGCCCTGAGCACTGCCAAGTGTGGCCCAAAATTGAACAGTAATAATAATAATCCTCTTAGGGTGGGAGCCTGTAAAA